ACATAAACATTTTCATATCCAACAATCATTCACAAGCATGCTATCACATAATATATGTCAATAACACACTTCATCCACCAAGGCATAATTTAAACACTTAACATGCCCACATAGCACCCATTTCCATGGATCACATTGAGTCAAATTCACAATCCAATTCAAGGTAAAATTCATTCTACCCAATTTTCATACCCATTTCATATATTTTCACAACATAAGTAATAATATAATCTTTCTATCAACATATCCATTACATACTTCACCCTAGGTTGTTTAATAAACCTGAATAGGAAGGAACCCTACCTGTTGAAGAGTAACCCACTTGGTAGAAGCCTTCAAGACTCAAATTTTGGCCCCAAGCCCTTGATTCCACCAAACTTGGTTTTGAAACTTCGGTGAAATCCCTCGTTTTTGGTATGGTCGTGTAGCCCTCGACGAGGAGATCGACTTTTGTTATTGCCCCGAGTGAATTTGAGCACTTAAACTTCCTAGATCATAGAGAAGGTGGAGTTTTTCATCACTTTCTCTCTCTTTCTCTCAACGTTAATGACCGGCTGAAGAATGGGGGAAAATCTGATTTTTTTCCCCCCTATTTATAGTCTTATAATACTTGGCCCAAAATTGGCCACATAACCCTCTTTTTTTCGATTTCGTTTTAGCCTTGAAACGATTAAACTTCGTTCTGGTTTAAGTTCAAAATATTTTTATTTTAATTTTTTTTAAATTATTTTTTAACTTTCGAAATTTTTTTTATCAAGATCCAGTGTTTGGGTCACCCGAGACTCGACCGCCTCGTAAAATGTAAAAAAATTTGACGAAATTTGACGTAGTAACTAGATTTTGTGAGATGAATCCAACGGTGAAATCCGTTTCGTTATCCGAGTTTTAGAAAATTTCAGGTTTACAACCCGTACTATAGTGACAAATTACTATTTTACCATTTTTCATAAAAAGTTAAAATTTATCCGAGTATTTATAGTACATGTGCACAATACCCTGCAGGAGTGTTCCTGTCTCGGTCTCATTTAGAAAGAGTTGGTCTGCGAGTTTAAGAGGCGTGTGATTATTGTTCTAAAGCAACTGAGTCTCTCCACGTAAAGGTACTGACAGATACAACAACTCCAAGATTCAAGTCAAGCAGTATTGCCAACTGTTAAAAGATTGAAATGGTCACATCAATTGATAGGATTACTACAGTGTTGAATTTGTTGCTTTTTAAAAGACATTTTAAAGGCAATTTATATAGCTACTGTGTACGGCCTATGATACTTTTAATATTTTTGATTGTTTAGCCTACGCATGTATAACTTACAAATCACATCTTTTCAATGTTTTTTACTGTTTGGCAGGCCTCGAATAACATAAAACTAATTTTAAGGTCAATAATTATTATTCTTGAATATGCACACTAAATATGACTAAAAAATTTATAACAAAAATTTATAATTTAAATATAATTAAAATAAAAAATCAATAAAAACTCTTTAGGCAGAATTCTCTCCGCACACATCATTTTCTCATCAATCTGGTGGCATTATTAAAACAAAGTACAAGCAAGAAATAAATCATAAAAGACAAAAAAATATTAAAATTTTAAATAAATGAACCTGGTCAAATTTAACATGGGCCCACTTTCCCAAATATTTAAAAAAACAAACATGGACCATCTCAATTTTTTGATTCATACCTAACCACTTACTCTAACAGAGTAAGGATCAGATGGACTCTTATAAGCACACATACCCAAAACTATCCGATGTAGGATAGCCTAGTTCTTTGACATCTCGACATAATTACTATGATGACATCTCGACATAATTACTATGATGGGAGGGCCGAACGGCCGATGGACCATCTCAATTGATAGTGCATTATTAACAATTAAATTGACCTTCTGACATGTTCTTGCAAAACATTTTTGATTTTTGTTGTCCTTTGAGTTCAAAATGTAAATGAGATCTACTAGAAGTTTTGGCACTTCCACTACTTTATATCTTAGTTTCTTTTCTCCGCCCACCAGCATTAGGACTGAAACTGTTTCAGTCAAACGTCGCATGACCGTTCGAGCTCCAGGTGACAAGATAAAACACCTATTTCCATTTCTGGATGCTAGCAGCACCTCTGACTTTTACTAGGAGTTTTTTGGTGGTGGTGGTGGGGGTGTTGGAAGTGACCGGCCAGTGGGGGCAATAATGAACCTATGAGAAAAAAAATTAAATTTGAACCATATGAGATGGAGCATAATCATTACATAAGAAAATTTGGATCTTGATACCACATGTTCCATGGGGTCACCTTGATACAGCCAACTAAGTAGAAAATGAGTGGCATATATACCCCACTGAATTGAGAAAATAGTCTGTGCTTACAAGGTACCAAGCTGGCAAACACATCTGACACTCAACACCAATGAAACAAGTAAGCAAACATAATAAAATAACTCAGCATTATGTTTTTTTTTTGTTGGTTTCTCTGTTCTTTGCGTGTCCACCATTTTTACAGCTCTGGTCCATTGAATATTTTTTCTATCTTTTTGTTGGAGCTCTGTACGTCATGCCTAGATGTATATGCGGTTGTGTTTTTATTCTATATTTTTATAGTTTCACCATAACTTATGGTACTAGTACCAAAAAAAAAAAAAAAGGAGTAGTATTATATATTTCAAATTTGTAACTGAAATTTGAATTTCAAATCAAAGAGGATCATTGAATCAATGGGTCCCACTAATCCAAGGTCCTCCTTAATTTGGGATGTAAATTTGAGTTACAAATTTGAAATACATATCATTACTCAAAAGGAAGTATATCCATGGTTGACGAAATTTTTGAGTTGGACACCTTCAAAGCTTTAATGGTGTGGACGAAGAGAACTTTTTTTTTTCCCTACAAAATGAGTTGGAGAATTTGGTTGTAAAGAGTAATTTTTTTTTGGCTTGATCTGAAAGAGTTGTTGGATACTTTGGATACTTCGATTTCATAAGCTAAGCTTACATTGATCTGGTATTGATCTGGTATAATCATTACATAAGAAAATTTGGATGTTGATACCACATGTTCCATGGGGTCACCTTGATACAGCCAACTAAGTAGAAAATGAGTGGCATATATGCCCCACTGAATTGAGAAAATAGTCTGTGCTGACAAGGTACCAAGCTGGCACACACATCTGACACTCAACACCAATGAAACAAGCAAGCACTCTTTTTTTTTTGGGGGAGGGGGGGGGGGGGGGGGGGGGCGTTGATCTGGTATATTGGTTAGCACTCTTTTTTCCTGTCATGTCTTTGTTTTTTTGTTTTTTTTTTTCCTGAGCAAGTCATTCTTTTTTTATGACCAAATAAACCCACTAATTTTCTGTTTAATCAAATCACACGTATCCAGTTGTACAAAAGTTTTTCATTTACTTGATATCGTTGCTGAAATTTAATGAATAACTGCTTAAAAATAAAAGAAATAATTATAAATTAGAATCAAGGTCATAACAAAATTGATGAATTTATTAATAAAAATAATCATTGATTTTTTTTCCCAAAAAAAAAATAGAATACAATGTACAAATATTTATTTTTTTTCAAATCGAAACACTGTAAAAAAGACTTGAGACATGTGGGTCGTGTCACCGGTTGAGCTTCAAATAGTAGCTCAACAGACTCGTCCTTTCACCTCACCCACCAGTTGAACAAGCAATGACCACTTATTCGGTCGATCCATTCTGCTGATGTGTCAACTTCTTGGACTATTTGTTGAAATGACTTTTTCTAATTAATGTTGAGTACACAACTTGCATGCCAGCTTGGTGCCCTCAAACCATCGACTATTAGTTATGTGGGGTTTTAGATGACGAGGATGATGTCCATTTGAACTGTTTGATGGACAGGAATTTTATGGGTGGAATTCATGTGATTGTCGGAAACTACGTGGAGCTTCACATGGTGATTAATGTTAATGTTTGTCGTGTATTCGTATTGGTATTGGTAGTGGTATTGGCAATGATTAATATTAATTTTATTTGATTCGAATCGTATTTGATACGGCATCTTTTACGTCGGCACCAATAAATTATTTTCTGTGACAATCAGTCTCACTCGATTAATAAATTGGTAGAGAAATATCTCAAACGATCAGATATAATTGTATCATTTTGCGACGCAAAGATACAACATTAATTTCTCGACAAATTTATCTTATTCTATCTAAAATTTTGTGTGGTACCTAATATCATTTCATTTTGCAAAGCCACAATTGATGTATTTAAATACTTTCCAAGTTGATTTATTTTTTAAATTGTCAAATTTAATTTGCCTTAATAGGATAATTCTTAAAAGTTTCTCTTACATGATCTCTCATTTTCCTACGTCTCTCAACCACACTTTCTTACATGATCTCTCATTTTCCTACGTCTCTCAACCACACTTTCTTTCTACTAGATACTATAACAATAAATTTAGTGCTTACGAAACTTTTCCTCATCGAGTAGTATATTTTTTAAATTCAAATTATTTAATAATAATGTACTTATATCATCAAATTAAATCATTACTAAAACATAGAAAAAAAAAATTAGAGGTAACTTTATACCTCATTATAACCGCTTAAACAATCACGATTTTAGAATTTCGCATTAGTTCAAATAGATAAAGTCATATGAATCTTAATTATATTTAAACTTTGACACGCCCATAATTTGAAAATACGGCAAACACTCCAAAAAATTATAATTTAACTATCAAAAATGTTATAATTTAAACTATAAAAATTATAAGTTGACCCCAAAAATTTGTAAATTTTTTAGGATCAATCATTCTTTTTTTTTTTGGTTATAATTATACCCAAAAATTTATGTCTTAGTCCACTAATATTATAAGAATAATGCTATTCGACCTAATCACGTGATCACGTGATTTCATCGGAAGATTAACAAATAAAATTAATTAATTAATTCGGAATAGTATTTTTCATATTCATCACCATCACCTCTGTTTATATCAAGTACCAGGGGTTCAGAAGGGTTTGGTAAGGCCAGTAAAGATGGCCAGTTCGAGACCACTACTCTCTAAGTCTGATTCAGCTCAAAAACTTCCATCTCTAGACGACTTGATCGAACAATACATAGGAAACTTCGGATGGGCTCAGTTCTTCCAATCCTTCCTTCTCTCCATGGCCTGGTTCTTCGATGCCCAACAAACATTCATCACCATCTTCTCCGATAAACAACCTACATGGCACTGCACCGATCAACTCACTTGCAACTCCGAATCTGACTTATGCAACCTCTCAAACACTTCATGGTCATGGGACGACCCTATTTACACCTCCACCGTATCAGAATGGAACCTTCAGTGTTCAAACTCAATCATCGCCGGCCTTCCCTCGTCGGCCTACTTCTTGGGTTGTGTGTTCGGAGGCCTCTTCTTGACAACAATGGCGGACACGTCTCTGGGTCGAAAGAAATTATTGCTACTATCATGTTTAGCCATGTCTATAGCTTCGCTTTTGACTGTGTTGTCCACTAACATTTGGGTCTACACAGTATTGAGATTCATCACCGGTTGTGGCCGGTCGTCGGTCGGAGGTTGTGCTCTGGTTTTAGTATCGGAGATCATCGGGAAACGGCACAGAGGCCAAGCGGGTACAATTGGTTTTCTTTGGTTCACACTCGGTTTTCTTTCTTTACCTGGTATAGCTTATCTGAACCGAGGTCATTCATGGCGGACTATATATCTATTCACTTCCATTCCTGGAATTCTATTCTGTGTACCAGTTTATCTATACGTTTGCGAATCACCCAGATGGCTTCTTATGCAAGGACGCGAAGAAGAAGCTGTTGAGACATTGAAAAAAATGGCAACACCCAGCTGTGGAGTGAGAGAATTGTCCTTTGCGAAAGGGAAGAGGGAAATTGAGAGGATTGATTTCTTCTCTGCAATCAAGATGTTGTTGCAGAAGAGATGGGCTGCTCAACGATTACTCGCCGCCATGGTACTGTTGAAATAAAATAAAGTTTTTAAAGTTTTAAATAATTTTTATTTATTTATTTTTTTGTTGCATTTGATTTAATGGAGTACTTTTAATTTGGGTTTTTAATGAATTAAAAAATTAATTTTTAATTAGCTGATTAACTCAATTTTCTTAGAGGTTAATTATTCTTTAGTTGTATAAATATTGTCGAGATCTGAATTGAATTTTGAACTCGTTATCCATTTACATCATGATGTTTAACGACAAAGCTATTAATATCATACATTGGTGTTTGAGTTTGGATGATACACACTCTCTCTCTCTCATTCTTCCACTTTTGTTAGTGAATGTTACGTGCTGAATGTTTATTATTATTTTTAGTATTTTTTTACTTAAAATTTGCAGTTTCGATATCATTTTATTATTGTTCAATATTATGTGTTAATTATGCTATTGTTATTTTTGATACTTTTTTACTTATATATTTGTATAATTTTATAGACGTGAAAATATTTAAATGTTAAAAAAAAATTTACAGGTCGTAGACATTCAAAACCAAGTTAATCACAAAAACAAAAAAAAATAAAAATTCAAAGTTAGGCTAATCATCAATAAAAATATAACAAATGATACCTGATGGTGCTCGAAATTTATGCCTCAAGCCAAACTATGATGGGATGATGTTCCGAGCTAGTTTCGCTAGTTATGAATTAATCTTTTTTGATTAGTTACATAGGGAATATAATTGGTTTATTTTAACCGATGGACTAAGGCTACATCTACTATCAATGGAGTCTCTTGCTCGCTGAGTTTGTATATTCATCAATCGGAGGTGTGCCTCCTATAACTGGGGACTCGAAGTCCACTTACAAAGGATGAGTGTCTAGGTGTTCTCTCTTAGTTTTCTATGCTTTTAGGCTCTTGAATGCTTTCTGGTTCGGAGGAGAGGATGCTCTCGCCAGGTTATTGTTCTCTATTTATATTAGTCTCTCCTAGGGTTTTTCAGCTGTCCTTCCCTTCGTATTGATCCCTCTTGTCATTTCCTTTGTCCCTTCCTGCTTCTTCTGTTATCATGATCACTGTTTTTCCGACGCTCCTGTTCATCTGGCGTTGCCGTCGCCACGATCTCTGGTGGCCTGGCTCTCCACCTTCTCTGAGATTGTCGTAGGTGTCAGGAATGGTCCTCTCGGCCCCTATGATGCGTGGTCTCCACTGGCGATCTAGAAGTAGCTTGGACTGGGCTTTCAATTTTCAAACCACTTTACAGTTTGGACTAGGCCTGAATTGTGGGGTTATAGGCCTTCTGTCAATGCTAAGTTCTCGCTCCAAGCTTTTTGGGCTGGTCAGGCTTCTGGGCCATCAAAGCTTTGATCTTAAGTTTCATTCGTATCAATACCAATAGCAAAAGAAAAAAAAAATTCAAAACCAAACTAATTACCAATAACAAAATTAGTGAAACCAATAAAAAATAATATTTAATACCAACTATAAAATTTTTTTCCAAGTTATAGACATTCAAACCCAAGCTAACAAAGCCAAATATTTTATTTGCTAAATTTTATTTTATGTTTTTAATGTCGTAGACATTTAGAGCTAAGTTAATCACCAATAAAAAAAATAAAAAAATTCAAAGCCAAAGTAATCACCAATTAAAAATAAATAAAAGTGAAACCAATTGCACCAAAAAAAAAAACTAAATTCAAAGTCAAGCTAATCACCAATAAAAAAATAACAAGTGATACCAATTGCATCAAAAAAATTCAAAGTCAAATTAATTACCAATAACAAAATAACAAGTGATTGAGTTTATAATTATATTATGTTATTAGATTGGATGGTAACAATTGTGATAAATTCATGTCTTATAAATGAGAAATATTTTGTTTATAGTTTAAAATTTGTAAATTTTATTAGGTCCTATTAGTATTTTTTTTTTTTTGAGGTATTTGTATATATGATGTTATTTTGAGAAGTTTTTAATACATTTTGTGATAGTTCTATTAATATGGAAGATATGATCGACAACATATTTTAGGTCATTTAAAAAGAGTTGGTATGAATATTATTTATAATATTTTTAGACACGAATGACTAGTACATTAACTTTCTCACTGCATCAAGCTTTTTGGGCTAACAGCTGAACAACACAATTTCTTGAAGGCCCAAATTAGGCTTTGACTCTATCAATTACGACTTTTTTTTTTCACCTCAACTATCATATTTTTTATATTATACCCTCAAATATGTGATTAGTATCATATTGTCTCAATTATTAACATCTTTTACATATTTAATAGAAATTATTTCATTTTGTCCTTTGAACCATGTAATTTTTTTTTATTTTATCTCAACACATCAGTAATTTTTACCTAAAAAAAAATGAAAGTTTGTGATTGGGACAATGTGAAATAATCAAAGTAGCTAAAGGGATAATGTGAAAGTTTCAATAGTTTAAGGGATAATGTGAAATTTTTAATAGTTTAAGGGGTAAAGTATAATTTAGTCCATAGTTTTCAAAGTATAATTTACCCTATTTTATATTTTGTTAATATCATATGCTTAGAATTTGAATTATGTTTTTGCTGTATTATTCTACTAGAAATAACACCTCCTATAAACACGATGAGACATTTATTTTTTTTTGGGGGAAGGGGCTTGAACTTTTGACTTCAAGCTGCTTCATAAGGTAAGATAAAGAGTATCATTGGAGCAAAAGATCATTAGTCACTGTCAGACATAAAACTTGTGCATTTAAAAAATTGATCTCACTTTATCATATACACAATTTCTTAAAATTAATTTATAAATAAAGTTTTTTTAAAAAACATGATCTTAAAAAAAATATCAACACGTGTACACTTTTTCATATGAGTAATATTCAAAATAAAAATAATATTGAGTTATAAATTAATTAAAAATTAAATAATTTAACTTGCCATAGAAATGAATACGTGGGGATAAAATTCAAACTGACCTTTTTTTTTTGGCAAATTTCCTTTAACAGGTAGTTGGTTTTGGAGTTGGCATAGTTTACTTTGGCTTGCCACTGGGTATTCAAAACTTATCAGTTGATCTCTATCTGGGTGTAACCCTCAATGCTTTAATGGAGATTCCGGCAGTCTTGGTCTCCCTTTTCTTCATCGGAAAATGGCAGAGAAAGACTTCATTGCTTGTGTTCAACACCCTAAGTGGTGTCTGCAGTGTACTGTGTGCCCTGGTAAGTGATCGGTGGGAGGTTCTCCGATTAACTCTCGAGCTCTTATCGTTTATAGCTGCTTATATAGCCTTTGCGGTGTTGCTGATATTCACTTTGGAGTTGTTTCCGACGTGCGTTCGAAACTCCGCCTTGTCAATTATGAGGCAGGCGGTGACCATCAGCGGCGTGATAAGTCCTGCGCTAATAGCTGCCGGAAAAAATGTTGCTTTTATGTCGTATGGAGTGTTTGGATTGATGATTGGTTTTTGTGGGCTTTTTGTGGTTTGTTTGCCGGAGACGAAGGATGATACTTTCTGTGATACAATGGAAGAGCAAGAGCAGAAGGAGAGTGGAGCGTCACTTAATGGTGTGTAGCTGACTGTTTGCAATCATTGCATGGATGATACTCTCATCAACCTAGTAATTGTTTTTTTTCTTTTTACAGAGTTTATTATTATTATTATTATTATTATTATTAATAACTTTGTAACTTCAATGTACTTTCTTTTTTTTTTAATGTATTATTGGCCATGGCCACTTCAAATTGTTTTAGCTCACTATCCAAGCCCCTTAATTACCAAGCAATTGGAAGCCGCTTTCATTAACGTAGTCCCAAAAATTATATTAAGCAATCTCTACTTCCATCTATATTAGCCAACTCCTATGCCTCCATATTTTCTTTCAAAATTTACCAATTTTGTTGGAAGATTCTGTGAAGATTAGATTCAGATACAGGACAACCATAACTACTGAATAGCAGACTTTGGTGAAGAAATTAAGCTGTCATCATTAATATGACTGAAGACTTTTGTGTATGTTTTACCCCATAAATAGGGGGCGTCTCTCCTTGTATCATACACACACAAATCCACAATGTAATCTAAATATTAATATAGTGGAAAACTTGGATAGTTATGTTCGTGAATGTAGGTCTGAATTAGTCGAACCACGTAGATCTGTGTTCTTTTTCTACTCTCATATTCTCGTCTAAAACCTGTGATGAATGTTCTAAAGCCAGATTTATATTTTGAAATTTTTTTAAAGCACTTGTAAGATGTAGATGAACCCCTTTGAAAAAAAAGATTACTACTACTACTAATATCCATGGACGGATCTATAGTGGGGGAGTGAGGGCAGCTGCTCCCATTGGAATTTTAAAAAAATATAGGACCTAGGTAAAATTTCATAATTTTGCCCCCTCTAAAATTTTCATAAAGTATAAGGTTAGTGAGTGTAATTTTTAAATATCAAAATATAACTTTGATAGCTTAATTTTTCATGCTCTTCGTCTTCCATTCTTCGTCAAACTTCGAGTCTCAGTTCTTGCCTTTTCTTCACTAGCCTCTTTTCTTTACTTCCATCGATATATTCATCAACAAATCGACCTACTTGGTTATTGGCTCCCATCAGGTTCGCATCTCTCTCTTAACATCGCAACAATGTTAATCACTAGGTACTCTTCAGTCAAGCACCCACCATTTCAATCTTCCTAAAATAATCCCACTGGTTATAAATCTACTCTATTACTGATCATGTGAGCGATTATTTTGGTTCAAAGTTAGACAAACCAGCCTATGAACAAACCCTAGAAGTAATGTTGAAACTATAGAGAGCGAACTCGTTTACCACAAAAATATTTTTCACTTGTTACAAATCCACGATGAGAGCCCTAGAAGCTTTTGTGGGAGCTGTCTAGAGGTAAACCGATAACCCATTAAAGGGTTCTAAAGATTTTCAGAGATTTTTCATATGTTGGAATTTTTTATTTTCTGATATCCATGACAAAATATAGTGATTTTTCTATCAAACTAATGTTGTCTATTAAGTGTTTGTTAAAATGTCACAGACAAAAACCATTACAGAAACAATGATTGGGCGTGAGCCCTACGAAAATCATGGATAACTATTTTATTGGAGCAATTGCAAATTAAAAGGAAATGGTTGGTCAATGTGCTATTTTTCTTTTTTGGCAAGTACCAATGTTACTTTTAAAGCTAACTTCATGATAATTATTAACTTGAGTTTGTGTAGGAGAATCACTTCAATGAAAATTTCATTGAGGGCGAGGAAAACAATATGAAATTTGATGCTAAGAAATTAGTTTAATGAGATCGTGCCATAATTATTTTATTTGTAAGAAAATCTATGAGGTTGAATTGAAGGCTTATCGCCTTCATGAGTTTTGATAGTTGTCATTCGGAATTAGTCATCTCTTAAACTTGACTTACTAGTCGCTCTTTTTCTAACCATATAATTATTAAGTTTTATTGGTCGCTTGAAATTTTAATTTGGGTTACATTTTGAATTAAGCAATTGAAAATTTGCCTATTATGAATTACTCTTTGGATTAAAATGTTCCATGCTTTGAATAATTTGCTAGTAATTGATTAAATTATTCCTCAATCTTAATTCAGTTCTAAATTATTTATGTTAAATTTGTTTAATTTATTTTGGTTATTTAAGCTCTATATAAGTTGTTTGTTAAAAAGTCAAGGATAAAGTATCGAATTAGAGTCTAACTAAAGTACTTAACAAGTTTTAAGTTACCTCCAATGCATAACCATCCTGGTTCTAATATTTGACCCTCTAAAAGCACATATACAATATACCAATCACAAAACATGTTAAAAAATATTTTAGTATAAAATAACGCTTTTTCAAGTAAAAATTTAGCCTAATACCTTGATATAACGATTTGTTAGCTGATATATCCCAATAAAAAATGTCCAATAAATAAAATTACCAGGTCATGCCAATTGCTACATCATCAGACCAGTTAGGGTTGGAGCTAAGTTTCAATATGGAAAGGATGGGGGTGGGGGGGAATATAAATAAAAAAATGTAACATGTCACAGAGAAAAAATTAGGGCCATTATATTGTTTTGCAAAAATATAAGGGGGCAATGGGTTAAATTAGACCATGCTAAAATGTCCATAATCTCTTTGTTTTTTTAATTTTTTTTCAATTAACTACTTATAATTACATCTTTTAACTCCTCTCCATGCAACCGTCTCTACTCATGAAATGCCAATATCACCCTTTATTTCTTCCAAAATAACCACTTAATTCATTTTCTGAATATATTTAACTTTCTATTTTTCTATCCACACACGCAATCATATGCGCAAAACGTGTAACTATAATAAGACAAAAGACATTATTAGTTCATAACGTCTATAACTTGTGTCACTTTACTTCTTCTTGTAACTTTATCACTTCAATCATTTAAGTCATAATTCAAATACAATCATAAAAAATGTTGGGTTAAATAGACTACAATTGTTATCACATGACTCTCACCCAACTATATTTAAGGTGCATTCTTTGTAACTTTAGAATTTGATAACACGAGTGTAGTTTTCTTGAAGAAAAAAAATTAAATTATATTGTCACCTCAAGAAATCTTTAATTTATAAAAGACCCCTCATGTTTTGCAGCTTCCACTTTCATTAGTTGATTTTGAACCGCAGTGTTCGACCGAACCAATAAAACTCAAACTGAAAACTAGAGATACTAAAAGAGCGGCCCAATGCATAGTGAAAGAGGCTCAAATAAGGTGACTATTTCTACAACTTGAACCCTTGGAACAATATTGCCACTACGGCAAGTGAAAACTTGGGATAATAACATGACAAAACTAAAAGAAGAGAGCCAAAATGGTACAAAACCCATTTGGTATTTATACATAAAAATACTATCTGAGACATGTTTACTCATATAAGATCTCCCCTAAAGTCACATAGGTCAACCCCAACCAACAAAAAAAGTAAAGAAGAAAGGCTCCAATCACAAAACAGAGCAAGTATAGAATATATGTTGCAAAACACCCAAGTGGGCACAACAAATAAAGATGTGACTGAGTTAACTACACAAATCACCTCTAGTCTATGCTATTCGTGTTAATTTAATCCCTGAACTAATTTTTGTGTTAATTCAGTCACTCGACTATGTAACCGGACACAATATGATTCTTTCGTTCAAATTCACTGTTAATTTTAACAAAAATTATCACATGCATATTACATGAGTTAAGTGATTAGGGTAGTTGAGATCATACACATGATTTGCACGAGGACGATTTGTTGAAGTTTACAACAACTTTGGAAGTAAACGTCATAGAGCCACGCTGCATAGTTGAGGGATTGAATTGACACTAACATTAGTGTCAGAGATGTAATTAGCACAAATGACATAGTTTAGACGTCATTTATGTAGTTTACTCGAACTAAATTATGAAACGGGTCTAGATTTAATTCACCCAACATAAAAATCTTATCTCGAACATCATTTCCCGTTGTTTTCTTTCGAATCTAAACAAGAAACCAAATGAGAAAGGCAAAAGCAATCAATGAATGCTTTTCACCTTTATTTTTGGATAATATTTAGCGGGGGTTCTAGTGATCTATGAAGTACGGATACGGATACGAAATTTAGATACAATATGATACGAATATGGTGATACTATAAAGTATAAAAAAATAAGATACGGATACGGTTAAGATACAACTATAATAAAATATTTTTAATATTTTTATTATTTTCAGCCAACCTGACACTTATATATTTTAGTTGTTCTTTAACATATAATATGGAAAATTAGTATTTCTTTTTAGTTTTAAGAAAATGTATATCGTGTCATTGTGGTATATTCACAAAGTGAAGTGACTAATTAAACGAATTAAAACTAATATTTACCTAATATTTAGAAGTAATTTTTGTTAAGATTATAATGTAATAACTTTACTATATGGTCTTTTGACATGTAATTGTAGATAATATTTAAAAAATACTCATATACCTTTGAAGTAATATGAAATTTTTGTTAATGTATTGTAGTATAGTATGTGAATTCGAAAAAAGATGTTAAAAGTTCAATTAAAAATTTATATATGTTGCTCTATTACTAAAATATCTATAAAGTATTATAATATTTAATTATTATCGAATACATAGAAAGTGTATCCGATACGTATCCGACGAGTATCGTATCCGCTACAGGTACGTCAACCTCAACGAAATATCCGTACTTCATAGCTGGTGATAGGGGTGTCCATGGGCCGGGCCGGGCTAGGTCAGGTCAACGAAATTTTTTTCGTGCCGAGCCTGGGTAGTGTAAGCCCAAGCCCTTATCCAATTGAATTATTGGGCGGGTCAGGCCGGACTTCGGGTAGAGTAGGCTACCCGCAACCCAACCCGCGTGAGCCTATTGGACGGGCTTGCTAGGCGGCCCTGCTTGCGGGCTTTTTTATATACATCTTTATTTAAAAATAATGAATATTTTTGTAACTTAATATTTGTGTAAATTATATTTTTGAATCAATAGTAAAGTCAATATTGATAAAAATAAAATAATAAACAACATCCAATAAAATGAATAAATCCCAATTAAGTTGACACCTACTAACTTATCTATCATTTATATTATTCTACAATTTAAAACTTATATATTTAATACATTGAAAAGAAAATAATACATTATTTATAATATCTAAATTCTTAAAACTTCAAATT